TAGCTAATAGTAGCGTAGAAAGAGTCCACTAACCTGAGTGACAAATGGCTGACTCAGCCAACAATTGGCTTCAAAGTGCTACTGACAGTATCAGTTGCTAAGTTGGGTATCAAGTCTGTGTTAGCAGTCAAGCTAATGTTAGCTACAGGGATGTGCAAAACTAGTCGACTAAGCGACTAATGGTTGTTGTTGTCAGTAGTCGGGACCAGACGTACTAGTCGTTAAATCTAATTGTTAACATTTGAATTGATGCCCAGTCCTAAATGTTATGCAGCCAGCTGCCACCAGATAGAGCACTGAATTTAAGAAACACCATGAATGGATCTTTTTGTCAACAGTATTAGAGATCACAGATACAAGCGGTGAAAATGAGCTTTTTCCGAAGGGTGTCTGGGCTCTCCCTCAGCGATGGGGTAAGGAGTTCAGTCAATCGGGAGATGCACAGAGTAGAGCAGAGTAGTCCTCCACATTGAAAGGAGCCAGCTGAGGCTGTTGCCTCCTGACTTTTTGAAAAATATTTCAGTAATACACGAGCATCTTTTGTAGTAATATCTTTTCATATCATATTTAACATCAGCTTATTTTATGTGTGTTTCTTCTTCCCTGTCTGTTTGGAGTATTATGTATAACACTCATAATGGGCCAGTTACGTCGCATAGTTCATTATTGAAGAAGTCATATATTAATGGATTCAAATGCCTTTGTTTAAACCGTTTTTGACATTAAATTATTCTCAAATTGAACTTTATATCTGAATGTTTCTTAGTGTAAGACTAGTCGTTTAGCCTAATTGATTTTTTTCAAGTAAAAGATTAATTGCCAGGATTATCCCTAGTGATCTAATATTAGCTAAAGCCAGTTTTATCTACCAAAACCGGTTTGACCTGACCGACTAAACCCGGCTAAGCCAACAGCAACATCAGCAGTGTGTTTCATTCACATAGAATTTTTTTCTCTCTCTCGGCTCAGAACCGACTCAGTGCTGTTGTTTTTCAGACTAATGTTAGCTAAAGCTAGTGTGCTCACATGGAAAAATACTGTCTTGAGTGGACAAAGCTAGCTGTTTTATCCAAACACCCAGGGCTGATCTGGCATCTTGGCTGTCCATTTTTCACATTACTTTATGAGTTTAATGTTACTAACCAACCATCACCAGATTTGTGCAGTGTAGATAAGTTACAGCAGACTCACTGTATGTCACTAGCAAAATCGTATCTGAGTATAAAGGCTAGTTGACTAGTCTGCCATATTTGCTTCATCAGCCAGGCTGCGGGTGTCATTGATAATACGAGTGTTAAGGAGGTTGTTAGGTCCACGAGTTGGACTAAATGATATCTGGAGAAAATAAGAATGTAGAGTCACAGTGTAAAGGAAAATAAACAGCTGATCTTGCTGGAATATTGAAGTTTCCTGCCATAAGTGTGAGACGGCTGTGCGTTTTACTCCAGCCGCCATGTCTGACATTCTTTCTTCTCCCCTGCTGAACTCAAGCCCTGCTCATGATTTCATGTTTTAGCCACTACCAGTCTTCAGGCCCAATCTTCACACTCACCTCTTGGCATTTGAAGAGAAAACAGTCATTTAGTCAAGCTGCTAATTTCTTTAACAATGACCCTTCTTAGTCACCTTCTAGATTATAGGGTTGCCTGAGTCCTCCGTATGGTACGGAAAGAGCAGCATGACTCAAAGGATAATATCGAGCTCTTGTTGCGTTAATGG